GGGGTACTGAGGTCAAAGGGTTAAGTGAAACGCCTTATGGAAACCAATTAGTTAGTAAGCTAATTTGAAAATATAACTTTAAAAAGTTCGAATGGATCTACCCTGCAGGGGTGGGGATATCGCTCTAAGAAGGCATGGCTTATTAAATGAAAATCACAGTGCCAGGCACAGGATCCCTCCCTGCAAGTCATCAGGCAGGGAGACACCAAAGGTCTCCAAAATAACACAGGCCAATGCCCTTGGTTGCCCTTCATAACTACAAGTAAGACCTATGGTTGAAGACACAACATAGTCGGCTGCAGGACGTAGAGAAATACATCTGGAACCAGCCAGGAAGCTTCCTACCTACTGCCTCACTTTCATAATGCCAGAAGGTGCTACGCAGGTGCTGGGGGAAAAAAATCACCATTGATCTAACCCAGCACTGGACCCTGTGTGCTATGATACTGACCTGCCAGGAAGAGGTGCCCACTGGTGCAATAGACCCTAGGGTCATAGACCCTAGGCTAGACCCTTCCATTGTTATTTTCCTAAATAGTCATGTTATCAAATTGTCTTCTAAATATTTACATTTATACCCACAGTCCTGGGCTGCTCTAAACCTAGGTCGGAGTGGATTCTTCTTGAAGCAATCAGCAGTCAATACAGAAAATAAGACTGACTGCTCAGCCCTAAATGGAGCATCTATATCAACCTCTGATATATCCCAAGGATGGGGAGCATCCAGGAAGAGGAGGTAGAAAGAAAGTTAAGAGCCAGAGGATAGGGAGGAGAGCTGTGAAATGCCATCTTCTGGAAACAATATGGCTACCACACTCATGAACTCACAGCAGCTGTGATTGCCTGCAAAGATCAAGTAGGCTAACATTCCCTCATAGTGAGACTGGAGAGAGGGATCAGTGGTTTAGAGCACTGGCTGCTCTTACAGAGAACTCAAGTTCAGTTCCCAGCACCCACATGGTGGCTAACAACCATCCATCACTCCAGGAGAACCATCACCCTCTTCTGGCCTCGGCAGGCATTGCATGCATGGGTGCACTCCCATACATGCAGGCAAAACACTCATACACATAAGATGAAAATAAATAAATTAAATATAAACAAATAAATTTTAACTTAAAATTCCCTTATAGA